CAGCAAAGCATAAATCTGGTCGTGTAGTTGTTAAGTACAAGAGACGACCAACCAGGCGACGATAAGCATAAGGATCAGCATGAGGAGTACCCTGATCACGACTGAGATGAGAAGCTGCATCCATAGGAGTTTTACAGGGCTTGGCAGCAAGCATGCCCATGTCCTCAAGAATTTCCAAGGCATACTTGCGTTGATTGAGATGAATACCTTTGGATGACCGAGAGACCTCAAGGCCCAAAAAATAACGAACTGGACCAAGATCTTTGATGCGGAATTGGTCATGCAAGTAAGCTTTGACACGAGCAATCTCTTGAGAAGAGTTACCAGAAAGAACAATGTCATCAACGTACACCAAGAGCACAGTAAAAGATGAACCATGCTGATGAGTGAACATGGAGTGATCTGCATGGCGTTGGGTATATCCAAGAGATGAAAGGGCAGAAGAAAGCTTGCCATACCATTGTCTACTGGCCTGTTTGAGGCCATACAAGGACTTATTCAATCGACAAGCTTGGCCAGGTTTGGTAGTAGAGAAGCCTTGAGGAATGGTCATGTAAACCTCCTCAAATAAGTCACCATGCAAGAAGGCATTGTCCACGTCTAACTGTTCAAGTAACCATCCTTTAGCAGCTGCCAAGGCTAGGATGACACGAAGAGATGTGAGCTTCGCAACAGGACTGAAGGTGTCGAAATAGTCTACACCCTCCAGTTGTGTGAAACCCATAGCCACAAGACGTGCTTTATGCCGTTCAATCTCACCATTAGCACGATACTTAATCTTATATACCCATTTGCAACCAATAGGCACCTTGTCAGAAGGAAGATCAACAATAGACCAAGTATTATTCTTCTCCAGTGCCAAAAGTTCATTATTCATGGCTGTTCTCCATTCATGAGATTTAACAGCTTGAGAGAAAGTGCTGGGCTCAGTGTGTGTAGTGACATTGAGACAGAAATTTTTGTATGAGGAAGAACAAAGTGCATAAGAGATAACATTGGATAAAGGGTATAAAGGAGAAGGGAAAGATGTACCTGAACACGATTGAGAAGTATGGACAGTAGATAGACTGTGATGATAGTCATTGAGGTAGGTAGGAGCATTTCGAGGACGTGTTGAACGTCTGAGGTTGTGAGTAACATCAGTAATGGGAGTTTGTTCAAGAGAGGGATGAGAATCACTAGGACCATTGGGTAATAAATGGTGTTGCTGATCAGAGACAGGGAATATTGATGTTGTGGGGAGAGAAAGATCTAAAGGGAAGCTATGGTCATAGGATTGAGGAGTGGCAAGAGGTGTTTGGGATAAAATGGTGGATTGAAAAGGAAAGATTGATTCATGAAAAATGACATTACGAGACAGAAAGCTCTCCCTAGAAGATATGTCATATAGTAGGTACCCTTTAACCCCTTCACGGTAACCCAGAAAAATGGCCTTTCTAGCTCTTGGACAAAATTTGGTACGGTGGGAATTAAGTGTTGAAGCATAGGCTAGGCAACCAAAGACACGGAGATGTGAGAAGGTAGGTGGAGTGTTATGTAGGAGTTCATAGGGTGTTTTATAACCAAGAGTGGGTGTACAAATCCGGTTAATAATATGGACAGCATGAGTAATAGAGAAGCACCATAAAGTGATGGGAATGTGGGATTGAAAGAAAAGGGCACGAGCTACATTTAAAATATGCTGGTGTTTTCTTTCTACCCTGGCATTCTGTTGAGGTGTTTCTACACAACTACATTGATGCCTAATCCCTTTTAATGCATAGAATTCTTTCATTAAAAACTCAGGTCCATTATCTGTACGAATTGTTTTGACAGAAGTATCAAAATGGTTTTGAACATAAGTGGTGAAGTTTTGGATATGGGTCCTAGTTTCAGATTTATTTTTCATCAAAATGGTCCAAGTAAAACGAGAGTAGTCATCAACAATCGTGAGGAAATATCGATGACCATGCATAGAAGAGGAATATGGTCCCCATATGTCAGCATGCAAGAGTTGAAATATAATAGTGGTTTTGGTCTCACTCAATGAAAAGGAAAGTTTTCTTTGCTTTGCATAATGGCAGGTATCACATGGTTCAATGTGTGCAGAAGGAATAAAGGGAAAATGAATTGACATACATTTGGAAACCTTTTGAGAGATGTGTCCTAATCTTCTGTGCCATAAGAGTGACTCATCACTATGCACACTATTATTAACAGACTTTGAACTATTACAAACAGGGCTACAGTTTAAAGGTACTTTTGCTACTAGGGTATCAGCTTTTGCAGATGAAGTTGTATGGTCCAAGTTGCTTCTGACTACATACAGTCCATCATACTGTTCAGCAAAACCAATCGTCCTCAGGTAGCTGGATGTTTTCTGTTGAATCAAACAGTGAAACTTTTCAAATACAATGGAATAGCAATTGGTTTTTAAAAGTTTTGAGACTGAAAGAAGGTTAATGTGAAATTGTGGAACATATAATACATCAGTGAGGGTGAGTGTAGGGAAAATACGTACAGAACCAGAAGTTGAAGTAATAATATTCGAACCATCAGGTAAAGTGATTGAGGTAGGTTCAATTTTACGGAAAAAAGAAAAATGAGAGCTATTGGAAGAGATATGGTCGGTTGCACCTGTATCGATGATCCAATTGGTACCAGAAATACCTGGCTGTGTGATCTGAGTATTGGCTGTGGTGGAATTGGAAACAAGGACAGCATTGGCTGAATGTGATTGAGTATTTCCACTATTGGCATTGTTTGACTTCTGCAAGAGATTCAATATCTGCTGATATTGATCTTGAGTCAAACTAAAATTCTGAAGTGGCTGATCTTGAGGATTGGAGTCATGTTGTGCAGAAGCATTATTGGCCATGCCTCTCTTAAAACTAGGTGTGTAGCCAGGTGGAAATCCATGAAGTTGGTAACAGGTTTCAATTGTGTGATTAGTCCTATTGCAATGAGTGCACAGTTTGTTGTTTGGTCCTCTGTTGAAAGATCCACGTCCTCCTCTTCCTCTGAAAGTGCGTCCTCCACGCACATCATCATAGGTACTCCTTCGGTCATCACGAATATTATCATAGGTATGATAGGTATTCCTTCGATTATTCATCACAGCCAGAGCCTGTGCATTGCTGGAAATATTCTGGTTGTCTTCTGAATGGAACTGGCGTTCTTGTTGTGTAACTAAAGAAAAAGCTTTAACGACATTAGGAAGTGGCTCTATCATCATGATTTGTGACCTTACCTGAGCAAATTGCTCATTAAGGCCTTTGAGAAACCTAATCGTGTGATCTTGTTCACGATAGATCCTGACTTGAGCTGTTGCACCGCAATCACAGGGAATGACAACTGAAGGTAATGGCTTAAGCATGTTCAACTCGTCCCACAGTATCTTAAGCTGAGTGAAAAACTCTGACACAGATCTATCTCCTTGCTGTAGCCTGCATATTTCTTCTTGCAAATCAGCAATTCTAAACATGTCTGATTGTGCAAACCTGTTGCGAAGATCCTTCCACGCATCAGATGCACTTTCGATCCATAGGATGGATTGAGCAATTGTCTGCGAAATGGATCTATGTATCCATTCCAGAACAATTGTGTTGCAACGTTCCCAGGCTTGGAACTCTGGATCATCATCTACTGGAATCACCATATCTTCAGCTATGAAATTAAGCTTGTTCTTGGCACGCAAAGCCATGGAGAAAGAGCGCGCCCATCCATGATAATTGCGTTCGTTCAAAACTGGAGTAACAAGAATCTGTTAGGGATTCTCGTTTGGATGGAGGAAGAGAGGATGTGATGGATTGGTAAGAAACGGAGGTAACTGTTCTTGATTAGCCATTGAAAGAGATCGAATCAACTAAGGAAAAAGGAGATTCCAAAGAAAATCAAGAAATCGAAGCGGATACCAGAGCTATGATAGCTCTGATACCATAATGGAGCTCAGAGGAAAAGAGAAAGAGAACTTCATTCTCATTAACAGAAAAGGAAAAGATTGCAAAAACTAACTGCCAATGGCTACAGCAGCTAAATATATATACACAAGCATTAGGAGCTAATCAAACGAAATAGAGCTTAACAATAAGTATAACAGAATAACTAATATCAGTATCTTTCTGTTATTCTGTTGTGATTAGTCGGTTGAATAAATTCTTCATCTGAAGTGGCTCTAGTTGATTGTGCTTGTAGTTGAGAAGTGATTGGGCCTAACTTGCTGATTGGGCCAGAAGAGGAATCAGGCTGTATTAAACGATGTGACTGAGGAGAGAAAAAAAAAAAAACTTTTTAGATTTATACAAAATATGACTGGTCATACTTTGTGTAAATCATCTAAAATGACACAACTTATATCGGTTTAAATGATAGTCTTTTTTCCCTTTGCATAATCAAGTTTCCTTTTGCTAAACGATTGTACCCAAACATGCTCCTTGGGCTCGGCACAATATAAATTAGGTGCCATCTTTTACTACGCAAAATTTAAAAAAGTTGCAAACGAAGTGAGAACACTTTAATATGAACCAATGTGAATTTTATGAAATTAAAGGGGAAGCAGAGACAAGCACTGCTGGTTTTTGTGCTCACTTTTTATTGAGATGTTCTATATATTATCCTTATTAACGCTTTTTAAAGTGTTAAGAATCTATACTAGGTTCCCTTCATTATGCCAATTGTTTGAGATTGATCAATTAAAATAGAAGCTATATATTGTTAATTTTCCTCGGCTTATTTAATTAATAAATTGCACTAGCTATAGCCAATCAATCACTTTAATATCCAACAGTATCACCTTTTTCTTTTTCTTTTTTAATAAATCATCAACATGTGCTGATTAATTTATATTCAAGACAGGTAGGATTACAAAAGAGGGGGGGGATTAATTTGCACAGCTATATACTCGAAATTCAAATTTAATACCACTAATTTAGACAATTTTCCGCCAATTGATCCACGTCATTGATAGTAATAGTATCACTGTTTTAATCAAACCTTCTAATAGATCTAAGCTCCATCCACACTTAACTTAAAAATCAATTTATGTACCTTTAAATAGTCAAATGGTGCATTTTACAGAAAATAATGAAATAAACATTCAACAGGGGCAATAATTGTATGCACACTCTTTTAACTTCAACACACTGTTACAAAGAACTATAAGAAACTGGCAGAGCTAATGTAGTAGTAATCATCTTTTCTCTTCTATTTTATCACATCTCCTAAGATCAACTATAAGACCTTAAACAAGTTTCTTCCATTTATACCTCTTCCCCAATACAAAAAAAAAAAAAAAGGGTTCACTTGATTTAAGAACCAATAGTTGCCACTTTAGGCACATGAACAGGAAACTCATGAATCTCATCCATCCAAGGATTCTTCTCCTTTGCTGGATTTATGGTCCTCAAAGCACGCCACACAGCACTATTACACTTAAAACCAGAACCAAATGCAATTTGCCAAGTCCTATCACCCTTCTTGATCCTCCCCTTAGCTTCAGTGTATGCCAATTCATACCACAATGAACTACTAGAAGTGTTCCCAAACCTATAAAGTGTCATCCTTGAAGGTTCCATATGCCAATCAGTGAGTTCAAGATTTTTCTCCAATTCATCCAACACAGCTCTTCCTCCAGCATGAATGCAAAAGTGCTCAAAAGCTAACTTAAAATCTGGGATGTAAGGCTTTATCTTCATCTTGAACACTTTCCTAGCAACCAATGTAGCAAAAAACAGGAGTTGCTCTGACATAGGAAGGACTATTGGTCCAAGTGTTGTGATGTTTGCCTTGAGGGCTTCTCCAGCAACAGCCATTAAGTCTTTTGAAAGTGCTACGCCAATTGTTTTTGTTTCATCTTCTTCTTGGAACACACAACCATATGATTTGTCATCTGCACCTTTATGTGTACGCACAGTGTGGACTAGTTGGTATTTGGCTTTGCGGCGATCACTAGACCTGTTTGAGAGAAGGATTGCAGCTCCACCCATTCTGAAGAGACAATTTGAGACTAGCATTGAACGATTGTTGCCAAAATACCAGTTTAAAGTGATGTTCTCCATGCTCACTACCAAGGCATAAGAGTTGGGATGTACCTACATATTTTCAATACTTTAGCTTTGCTCTTAAATTTTCTTGTCTAGCTATCTCAAGATAACCATAAAGAATACAAGAAGTTTATCATCTCATTTGTTATTTAACATAATTAGATGATGCAAAAATATTTTGACTGATTATAAACAAATCAACATTGATAAGAGATGAGAGATATAAAAAATGTTGGGTAGAGAGTCATAAAAAGACAATCAATGATTTGTAAGTCAATGATTAAGATGCACTTACAGACACAGTCATTTTAGATAACATATTCGAGGGACAATTCCTTAAAGAACTTAAAAGAATCACATGTCATCATGGAAAGGCTTTGGATCCGGTTATTATTATGGATTATCAAAGATTATGATTATATATAAATGGGTTTGTTGGCATATATATATACATCTTTGGGATACTTGGTCGGTTGGAACTTGGGAGTGTATTAATGAGGTTGGCTAACCTAACAAAACTGCCACCAACTTGAACTATGAATACGGATTTGTTGTCTACTCTAGCTCAATGGGTATATATGTAATAATTTCTCAGTACAGAAGCTGCTATAAAAATGGACTACATGCCCAGTTCATGGCATGCAACATGTCCTCGCGAGGAAGCAATGTAATAAATCACATACTAACATGGAAATCATATACTGAATTGCAAATTAATATATATGAGAAAAATATTTCTCAAGCTCCGTCTACTCAAATTAATATATATATGCTTTAGTATTTCTATAGTTAATGCAGATAAATTATCTATATTCACTTTCAAAACAAGGTCATTTTAGGTTGAAAGATTAAAAAATTATAATAATAAAGACTATTATAGTCTTATAATAAATTATAATTATAAAAGCGCCTTGATTTTTGTCCCAAAACAACATCGCTATGGGTTCAAAACAGATAACTTATCTACATTCATTGTAAAAAAACAATATATATATATATATATATATATATATATATATATATATATATATATATATATATATATATGATTTCCATATTAGTATATACTGAATTTGCAAATCTGCAAATATATATATAAATCACAGACTAACATGGAAATCGTATACTGAATTTGCAAATATATATATATATATATATATTATTGATCTTGGGATTATATTATAAAGAAACCTATTAAGAAGGATGAATTAGTGAATGATTTTAATTTATAAAAAATTTGAAAAATATATATATTAATGAAAAGAGAAGTGCAAATATTTAACCTGGAGGAGTTGCTTGGCAAGGTCTATAGAGATAAGGCCAGCACTGCAACCCATGCCACCAAGATTATAGCTTAGGATATTCCCTCTTAACTTGTAGTGATTAACAATCATGGCAGAGAGAGATGGTGTTGGATTGAACAAGCTGCAATTCACAACCAAAATACCAATATCCTTAGCCTTGACACCAGTTTTTTCAAGAAGCTGGTCAATGGCTCCAAACATAACTTCCTCAGCTTCTTTCCTTGCTTCAGCCATACATGGATTTGGTGGTTTACTCAACACTGCTGGTGGCAAGTAAGTCTTTTGTCCCAAACCAGACCTTTCAAGTATTTTTCTCTGAAAGGACAGATTCTCCTCTGTGAATGTCCCTGTCAAACCAGATCTTTCCATGAAAATTTCCCTTGTACATGTGTTATCTTGGTGTGGCTTGTAACATGCATAATCCACCAAGTATATACCTCTTGGACGGCTCATGAAGTAAAGGGTGGCAAGGAATACTATGAGACTTAAACATAGAGTCAGTGATACAACATTGAACTTGAGATTTTCCCATAATTGGATAACATCTTGGATTGAAAGTGTTGATGCATGAGCTGAAGCTACACCAATAAGGGGTATGAGGACAAGGTACTTAGCACTTGAGATTAAGCAGTGGTACCCAAGTTTCACATACTTGAGTTTCACTGAGAGCAGAAAGTTTGGAAGTTTCCTTCTTTCTTGTGGGGTTTCAACAGAAATGGTTTTGGAATCAGGGTTTTGATGATTCCTCTGATCTGCCATAGAGGGTGTTTGATAGTGGGCTTATTGAGTTTGTTTTGTATGAAGCAATAGAAGACAATACCCAAAAGAAAAGAAAAGAAATATTAAATAAAAAAAGAGAGTGGATTTGGTTTTTGGTTATGAAAGGGAAAACTTTATGGTAATGAACTCAAGTTTAGAAGAGAGCTAAATGTGTGTTTGCCTTGAAATATGAATAAGAAACAAATGGTAGAAGAAGAATATTGGGTGGCAACACAATGGAAGATGGCATGGTTATAAAGGGTGTGCCTTGGGAAGAGAGAGAATATATGGGTGAGAGGAGGATAGCTGATACAACCACCCCAACGAACTTTTAATTGATAACATGCGGGCGCATTGAATTCTCTCCAACAGCGCGTTTCTTTCTTTGTGGTTTTTTTGTTCAAGAATTTGTCCTTTGTTATTCCTTGTTATTGCTTGTGTGCCACTTGTTGCAGTGTATTTTCATTTTCATTTCTATTTTCTAGAGAGCAAGCTAGCAAAGCACATGCATCACGCATGCAATTTAGATTGGTAAGACTATCATTTTTTGGGTCAAAACCGGAAGTTGGTGATTGGTGAACTATAAATAAGTATATGCTTGCAACTTAATTTGCTTTCTGCTTTCTTTACTAATTTTTTTTCCCTCTTTATTTTCATATTTTGTCTACAATGGAAAGCCTCCCTCCAATGTCCAAACCGGAGATTTGTATTCTTTTCCTTAGAAGATATTAATATTAGAGAAAAATATATGTCGTTTTAATTAAAAGATACAATTTTATGTAATTTTAAGTGGAAATACTGAGTTTTGAGATATACTTAATAGTTTTTGATTTTTTTTTTCTCCTTCACAAAATTAGGAGGAGAGAGAAAGAGAGGTTATTGTAGAGGAGAAAGAAGGTAAAAAACTACAAAAATATAATAATTTCATTTAAAATGATACAAAGTTGTGTCTTAATATTTTTCTCTTAATGTATATTAGGGAAATAAAACATTAGAAATTGATTTGGTTTTTATGAACCAAAAATAACTAAGTTTAATTAGTTTCCTTTGAACAATTTTCACCTATCTTTTTTAATGATCTGAACTACCCTCCCATATATATATATATATAAGAGATAAAATTAAATAAAAAAAATATATTTTAAAAATATTAACTTTTTTCTTGGAAAGTTAATTATGTGTAATATGTGATTTAAAAATATTTTAAAAAATATTAACTTTTAAAAATAACAGTACTGATTTGCGATAATCATTTCCTTCCTATAGTAAACAAACACTTTTCGTTTCCGCAATGTCAAAAAAGTAGAGTAAACCCTAGTTGGGTGGTCAAAATAATTTCGGTACGTATATTTATTCTTTAAAAAATGAGTGATTTAAATTTGTCGTCAAATGACAATAATTTGCCATTAAATGACGTTAATTTAGTCAAGAAATTTGTAAAATATTTTGATATACAAAATTATCATTTATAATGTAATAATATTTTGAAAATATATTGATATTCCAAAATAAGGATTCACTCCAAAGAGTAGGTTTTCAGAAAAAAACATAAATTCAGGAAAAAAAAAAAAAAAAACATCTCGAATTGAAAATCGATATCGGCAACTTTTTTAAACACGCAATATTTTTTTCTTCTTCACAAATATGCACTCAGTAACTCATGATAATCTCTTTACAAATTGTATCACCATGCTTTGAAAAATAATTCTTCAATTACATATATTTGCAGAAATATTCTTCAATTACATATATTTGACAGAAAAAGACCAAAATTCCGTTGAAAGTATCAACGGACCAAGATTTTATTGGAATTTTCAACGAAAAAATTATTCCGTTGTTATTTTCAACGGATAAAATTCCGTTGCAATTTTTGATAAAAAAAAAATCAAAAACCGTTGAAATTTTGACACTAATAAGTCATTATCTCTCACGAGTCATTTAAGAATACACTTTGCACCAACATAAAATGGTTAAAGTAAAGAATCATGCAAGCCCACCCACCTACACTATAAATTCACCGTTGTAGTCATAGAACTTCTGGGGTTGCTAAAAGGTGGAAATTTCATTTCTCTATCTCTCACTTAAATAAATTCATGTAAGATGATGATGTCTGGGACAGTTGCGTCTGTTGTTGCTTTATTCTACTAAGATCAGTATCATATACGTTAATAATTGCATATGACTCATGTTGCCCTTATTTTCGTTGATTTCATTTTTTATATTGTTTAATTCTACTATTGAGGGCTTCCAGCAAGTCTGCGCTTAGGAGGTTTTGTCCCTCATCGGGCTTTGACGTGTGTGCCATTTATACGATGAATTATGTCAAGTCCCGAGTATTTTTCTTTTGTTTGAAGCTTATTTGAATAAAGATTACAGGGATATGTTAGTATTAGAAATCTGAGAGTTGCATGGAGAAGAGAGAAGAAGATCTGAGAGAGAGAGAGAGAGAGAAGAGAGCAATCTGAAAAGAACCCATTTGTATTATTGAAGAATGAAAAGTTACCATACGTTTCAGATACAAGATGATATATATACAAACTATAAACTGTGACTCAGCATTGAAGCTTACAGCTGTCACACACTTAGCTTACAGCTGTCACTACTCTAACTAACTCAGAAGTTCACTAACACATTTATAAAAGCTAGAGTCTAATACAATGAGACCTATAGCAGAAAGCTACGCTAATAGTTAGCAACATATTTACTTTCATATCCATTTTCATGTGAGTACATCTGAGTATCATTTTTGTATACTCATAACTTCATCCATTACTTCAACACTTCTAGTTATGTATAGTCATGACTACTTGCATTACTTGAAAATTTTCAACGGAAAAATACCAAAATTTCGTTGAAAGTTTCAACGGACCAAAGTTCCGTTTCTATTTTTGACGGAAATATTCCGTTGAAAGTTTCGACAGAAAAATCCGTTGCATTTTTCGACAGAAAAAAAATTCCGTTTGAATTTTCAACGGAATATTATGCCGTTTCAAATTTCAACGAAAAAACTCCGTTGAAATTTTCAACCGAATAAATATTCCGTTGTAATTATCAACGAAATTTGTTGTCCGTCAATAATTTTCGATTACAAAAATTATATGATAAATTTTTGACAGAAAATTTCAACGGTATTTATTTTCCGTTGCACATTTCCGTCTCAAAATTCAATGAAAATTTTTTCCGTCCCTATTTCAAACGGAATTATATTTCTGTCAAAAATTCCGTAACTATCTTTGACGGAATATTTTTCGTTGATAAATTTCGTCGATAATAGAGTTTTTTTAGTAGTGAATTACATATATTCGCAAAGACGCATTGCGTACATTTTTTTTTTTTTGGTTGGTAATTTGACATTGTGTATATACATATATAATAAAATAAAATTTCAAGTTATGAATATAACCATAAAAGTAAGGCCGAATTGTAGTATTTTATTTTTTATTTTTTGAGTAAAGCTCATTTTAGATCCCTAAAAAAAAATATGGTCCTCACTTTCATCCCTTACAAAAAAGAAATCACTTTTTGATCCCTCTACAATTTCAATTCTTTAAAAATATAGTCCCTCATAAATTCAATATATATCAAATTTAGTCCCTCAAAAATGATTAATATGAGTTTTTTATTTTATGAAATGGACAAAAGTGAGAACAGTATTTGTTTGTTAGGGATAAAAAAATAGCTTTTTTTTTTTTTTTTTACTTTAATGTGTCGGCCCTCGTAGACTTTGTAATCAATCGATCAACTGATCAACATTTGAAGCGGTTATAAAATGACAAGACGATTGGGGTATGAATCCCTAATACGTACACAGTAACACAATATTCTTTAGAAAAGACAATAAACCATTATTTTTTTCCCTGGTCGACAAGACAATAAACCATTGCAGAAATCAAGTTGACTGACCAAAATAATATAGTTTTAATAAAAATTACCAAAATGATATAGTTTCAAATCTATGGACAATATGATACAATTTGATCGCGTTTGACAAGACAAGCTCCACCAGTGACACCAAATTTACACATGTCAAAATCTTATTCATCCTGGGACCATTTACTTAAGTAAATAGTCCTAGGGCACATTACTCCTGTAAGAAATGCAAAATTCGATTCCTTTTTATTCAAATCAATCTCTAATTTCATGTACACATGTAATTAGAGTTAGGGGTGGATTTTGTGGGTTCAAAACATGTCATAAGAAATACTATCGAACATAAAAGTAGTGGGCAATACTGATGATTAAGCCCCTAAAGAGAAGGTTGAGAAGGCTAAAAAGAATAAAGAGAAGGAAAGTAAAAATAATAGCATTAAGTGCAATTACATGCGTACGTGAGAATAAAAATTGATTTGAAAGTAAAAAAAAAGTTTCTCTCAATTTTAGAAAGCTAAAATGTTATTATTTTTACGGTTAATTTTAATTATTTTTTGTTTGAGCTAAATGTATGAATAAGATGTAATTTAAAAATAAAGAAAAATACATAGTAAAGCAAAAAGTTATTAACCTAATAATTTCTTACAGATAAAAAATTGACCATTAATTTTGAGAAATGACGGTGCTACATTATCAAATGAATAATAAATGAAAAAGTACACTAGTGTAATAAAATTAAAAAATATATAAAAGAAAGTGCAACATCACAAACTGAAGAAAATATTAAAATTATAATTAAATAATAAAAATGAAAGAAAAAAAAAACTTTCAAGAAAACATTAGGCGGAGCGGGAGACCCGCTTTGCCACCTCTAGTAAATAAATGGTGGATCCGCTTGATCAAACGCATTCAAACTATATGGGATTGGTAAATTATTTAACAATCCTTAATGATTTTCTTTTTTATGAAAGTCTAAGTTTGCCCATGATGCAAGGCTGGAAAGGGATTCCAAAGTACCCGTTCTATAAAGTGTTGTGATAAAGGCGTCGGCATGGAAAAAGCTTGTATATCTCATATGTTTGTGCATGCTTAACACCTTTAACTTATTACCCAAGGTAAAACTAGTGTTGTTCTTGCTAGCCAAATCTCGTAGGACACGTAGAACCTTACTTCGCTTGATAATGCTAACATTGTCTTGCATACATTTAAATATCGAAATCTTCCCCATATATACAACATATTGATGTTTTTAACCACTAACGTTTATCAAATTCATTTATTGCCCTTATAAACTCTTCATCTTTTCTCAAATTTGATTTATAAAATGGCAAATAGATTTAAATTCATA